TAGTATCTCAAGAGGTGGTAAGACTTGAGAAAGTCCACACCCACTACAACCCATCTGATATGGGGACGAAAGTACTACCACTGACAAAGTTTAGAAGTTGCAAGGAACTTCTAAATATTGGTACATATAAATGATTTCCAATTTTATTGGTTTTCTATTAGAGGTGTCACTAATGGGAGACAATTTTCTTTTGCAGGTCCTTTGACACCCAGGTAGAGGTTGTTAGGCAATTTGTTGTCAAACGACCTTCCCGAGCTATGATGTAACCTCGGTTTTATTATCGGTCGGTCTTGGCCATATGATTGACTAGTACATCGACACAATTATCGAGACAACACAATCCACATTCGTATGGACCGTTCGAAGCAACCTATTGTAAATAGTGTTGCTCACGGTTCGCCCCATTTCCTTGGAAGGCTATATTATTAATTTGAAGCCCACTTAAATTGAGTCGAGCCTTGTTTTGGTCCACAATTTAATCATAACCTAACTTACCTATTTTGGACATTTACTTGGCATATAATCCCGTCTCCCTCTCGGCCTCCATAGGTGTGCCCATTTTCTCTCTTTGTGAGACTTTCTTCTTGGTTTCTTGCTTCACTTCACTGTGACCTTTGTGGTTAATCCTTAGTGGGCATATCATTGGACTTCATCTTCCCAACCTATAGCAACCGGAAGTGGGGCGATTTTGGTGGTGGTTTTGGAGTTGTCTCAACCTTGGTGGTGTCGATGCAATTGGTAAACTGAGCCCGGTTTTGTACTTGGAGTTTGCTGAAAATCATCCCTACATTTTGTAATTTGAAAATCTTGTAATTATGAATCATCAACAAGATCATTTATCCCATAGCAATCGTATTCATTATCTTAAGCATGGTCTTTTGTTTCTGACCATGATGAGCTCGAATTTGAAGCATTTGATCTAGTGTGCAAATTCTGTAGGATTGTACCAGCGAAACGGCACGCTAGGCTGAGTGTGCAAATTCTTCACGATCTTTGCACTGAGCTAACATTGCCATAAGCTTGCTTTTTTCTATTAGAAAAACAGCTTGTTTTTCTTGCACTTTCGAAGATGGTGAAGTTGGAACTGCTTTTGATCTATTATGCTCACAATTTTTCAGATAAGCTTGAATGACTTTGTGGAGGTATTAGTGAACATTTCCCACAACAAGCTTTGGAGAAAAATTGGTTTCGTCATCAGCTTGGACATGGAAGTCCCAGCACATGATCCATCGAACTTTGAAAAGTTTTTGAAAATTGGAAAATAGGTCATTCGTGATTTTTAAAACCTTCAGAAACAAGACTCTGAAGAATTTGTTCCTCAACTCCAAAGTACAAGAACCAATTTTGAAACCTTTTTGGAAAAGAAAAAACAACATTTATGCTCAAACATAATAAACCAGGAATGGAAACTGGCCTAAAATAGAGGACTATATACCAAGCATTTGGATACTCAAAAAATGTGAATTACGATTTTGCTTGAATTTTCTTTTGAGATGAGGAAGAAGAAATTGAATTTGCAGTTTGAAGCAAATATTAATCAATTTATATTGTCTTTCTTCTTCTCTTTTCTTACAAAGACATCTTGCTCGGACTTTGCTCGTAGAAATTCTCTGGTTGGAAAATTTGGTAATACATTTGATATATTCAATATTAAAACCCAAGCAAGATATGATTGCTTGTCATCAGGCACAAATTTATTTTGAAACAAGGTTTTTAACGTCCTTTTGTAAAACATCTTTAGAAGCTTTACAATCCATTTTGTCTAGAAAACGCTTTACTTATCAAATCAACTTGAATTTTTTTAATAAATAATACTAAAGCCAAGATTTCCTTTTGATAGTAGAGTAGCTCTTATGCGATTCAATACAGATTTTGACAAGGTATCGAACTAATTGTTCCTGGTCATTTATTTTTAACTTGAGAATTTCACCATAACCTAAATCTGAAGCATCAATTTCAATATTAAGAAACTCATATGGTTTTAACAAGGGTTTTGACAGCTGGGTTTACAAATTTTACTGCTGAAGTGTGCTCTTGACTCCTCTTAGGAGGATTTTTTTTCTAAGTCTTTGGTACAAAGGTTCACATATCTATCTAATATTTGGAGCTACTGCATAATTGACATATTCTAAAAATCTTTCAAGACTAATTTTTTCTAAGATCTTAATTGGGATTGAAGATGTCATTCATAATTTTTTGAAATTCTAAATGAGCATTTTTAATCCAAATGAAACTTTAAATGTTGTTTTATATTTGTCTTGCTCATAAATTTGGATTTGCCAAATGTCAGATTTCATATAAAATTTTAAAAATATAATTGTCTTAAAAAGCTTATTTGGTAGATCTTTCTTTTGAGGCAAATGATATCGGATTCATTGAAACATCTTGTTCAAGGGCTTATAATTAATAACCAATCTTGGGGCACCTCTTTCTATTTCACTTTGATTACTAATGTTGAAAGCATAACAACTTCAAGGATATTTACTTGTTCTGATTAAATTTTTTTGAATAAATCATCACTTCTTTAATACAGTAATCAAGTAATTCTTTACTCATTTGAATTGGTTTAGACTTGGTAGGAATTTTTTATTCATCGAAATCAGGAATATATGGCGAAGAAATAATATGTTTCTCTCTATCTCAAAAGACATTTGGAATAGTAGAGCATTGATGTGAAATTTGGCCCTTCTTGTCTACTGTTACAGTAGAAATATAAATTTTGGAATAATGAATTTTTGGAAAATGTATGTTTAAAAAGTAGAAAAACATTTTAAATTTACGTGCAAAATATTTTATTGTGAGAATGTGTGGTTGAAATGAGTTTGATAAAGAAATGAGTTTTGAAATAATGTTAGATAAACAGGGGTTTGGTATGCATTTTTTTTTTTTTAAATTAAACTTATTGACAATTTTCAAAATTGAAGGTTCCTTAAAAAATTTACATCTTTGTAAGGAGGATTAGTGAATTTAAATAAAGTTTCATGGAAATAAATTATTATTTTAATCCTTCTTCATTAGCCTGGAAATGATAGATTTGAACTATAAAAGGACCACCAAGAATTACTTAATGATCTAAATCTTTTACTGGATGGAAAATATTTTTGAAACAAATACTTGAATTACAAACATAAGCTTTTGAAAGTTTTTATTGAATGTTGAGAAGTTTTCCACTAGCTCCATAAAGGCACTTAGTGGTTTACACAAAATATTTTGTGAGGACTAGTCCTTCCCGTATACAAGTTTGATTAGCTCTTGAATCTATAAGGACTCTAGTTAACTTGAATTCTTGATTTATAATGACAGTCATTTGACAATACCATTTTTAAAGTCGAATTCTATTTATAAAATTTAGACTTGTTTCTTCATTTATTTGAGGTAGAACTTTGAGTTTCAATTTTAGAATCTGAACCTTTAGATTCTTCTTCATATTTATCTTTTGATTTGCCTATTGTAGGAATTTCTAAGGATTTTGTTTTTAAAAAAGACAACTTTCATTTTGACATCTTTCATTTGTCGCTCTAAGTTTGAAATTCGTATTTTCTTACTATTAATTTTTTATTATAGATCAGCAGTTGATATTTTTGACATGGACTCTTGCTTGAGCCTGTTTATAATTTGAGACATATTTATTAATGGTTTTTGAGATATCAATAATTGATTAACATATTCGACTTTTTAACTACAAATTTTATCTTTACAACAACAAATCTATTTATCATTACTTGATTTCAAGGAAATTGAACTTTTTTTCAAAATCAGAGTCTTGTTGATTTTGATAAATTTGCTCTTTCATCAGATTCTGAACATTCTTTAGAACCAGAATTGACCATGTTTAAAATTTGGAATTTAAGATTTGAAGATTATAGATTTTCTTTTTCATTGTACATTGATGAGAATAATGACATATTTCCTTACATTTCGAACATGTAACAATTTTTCTTTTAGTTTTGAAACTTTTTCTTGCAGAACTTGTTTTTTGAGGTTTTTGTTAATTATTTTCTCTTTGATAGAATTTTTTCCTTATATTATATTTGATATGAGTTCTTATTTTTTTTTTTTTTCTTTGACCGAAGAAAGGGCAATGACATTTTCTAAATTATATTGTTCACAAAATGATACGGGTTCTCGTCGACTTTCTACTCTTTCATTCTTAAGCTTTGCTTTGAGTTTTGTATCATTACATAATGTTAATCCTTCTTTATTAATCATTTCAACACGTGTAAGCTTAGCATATTGAATGGTATCATCATTTTGAGTTTTGATATTGGTTCTAACTCTCTTGGCAAAATTTTCAGAAGTCCAAAATCAAATCTCTCTTTCCTTTTTTTTTTTTTTTTTTTTTTTTTTAAAATGATTGATAACAATCTTTTCTAACAATAACTTTGGTGAGAAAAATATCTTTGTACAGTCGACAGTTGATAAGTACGTTTTTGCACACATGTTTAATACATAAAAATGTTTAAATATTGATTAAAGGAGCGAGTTTTTACTTACAATTATGCAATTATTGCTTTTATATGTGAAAATCACCCAAGGAAATAGAACAAGGCAAAAGGAAGTGAAAATGGATCAAAAGCGTACAAAATTATGAAGTTGAGGACCAAGGTGCATAAGTCAAAAAGTTCAAGGACCTAGAGTTGCTATTTTGGAGGGCATGATTGATGTGAAAATCAAAATTTGAGAAACAAATTGTACAAGATCAAAGTTGAGAGACTTGATGCAGAATTTTCTGGAGGATTAGCTGCAAAAATGGAACCAACTGATATTTTTGGTAGCAAGGGGCGCTGCCTCACAGTGCCAGTTCAAAATCATTGGGGACCGTTTTGCTTTTTGTACGAAATTTAGGGACTGGACTACAAATTTTCCAAGTTTTAATAATATTAACACGGACAGCCACATTCCAGGGTCTTCTTCCTCTTTTCTTTTTTCTTTGTTTTTCTTTTTTTCATTTTTTTTCTTTCATTTTCTTTTCATTTTTTGGTATTTTGGAGAAGAATTAGAGCAACAAAAGGAGAAAACTCAAAGAAAGAGGAAGAGATTTTGGGGAAAATTCAAATTTAATCTATGACAATCTTCAAGAATCCAATCAAAAAGGGTATTTGAATATTCTCCTAAATTTTTTCAATTATTTTCTTCCATTTGTGATGTATTGTATGAAATGTTTTCTTCTCGATCATTTATAAAACTTGGGCTAAATTCTTGATGTCGGGTTTATGATTTAGTTTAATCTAGCTTTTATTAATATTGATATTTTTCTCTTTAATGTTAAACTATTTTATTATTATTATTATTATTATTATTATTATTATTATTATTATTATTATTATTATTACGCCCCTCATCAAACCACTTCGGCACGTCAGTTCCACTCCTCTACGATGCGCCACGTGTCCCTACGAAGTGGTTTCGAAGCGACATCAACCTCAGCTGAACTCCAACTTGACGCACCGCAAGACACACATTTCACAAACTAAATCTACTGAAGCAACCAAAGCGTCCCCCTGTAACCGAGGCGTTTGGCTCTTCGAGGTGCTCCCTTAACGTATACCTCCGTCGCCAGTTTCAGAAGTATATCTATGTCAAGATTATCTATAGATGTGACATCTCCATGGATCTAGCTGATGTGACATCAACTTTATGTCAACTCAACTCAACTCAGGAGAATTAGTAACCCACCCACTCTAGACGAGGTTGCTTAACGTCTACAAGTAGACGTCTTACGCCGTTAGATGCATACACATGTTTCATATCTAACGGTGCTCCTCATTTATAAATACTCAAGGTTTGGCAAGAAACAAAGGTAACAAAAAATCTCTATAAACTTGACAGTCCACATTCAAGCATCATATATTCTCCTCCCCACTCTCTTGTACAATTTTGGCACCATTCCGATCATCGACCACTGACTCGATCGTTGAAGTGTATGCGGTCGCTGCCACCCCAATTGGTTCCGACGATGTACTCCTGACCGTGTGTTGTTGTAAGCAAGGAAGAACACGTGGAGTGACTCTCGGTTGGCCACATGGAAATCGAATTTGCAGGGTCAACAATTATTATTATTATTGTTGCTGTTGTTGTTATTGTTGTTGCAATTTCATTTATGTGGTCAATGTATGATTATGCTTAGTGATTTATACATAGTTCAAGAAAAGATTATGCATATTAGAGCAAATAGTAGAAACCGTATATTCTTGTCGGGAATAGAGATATACCCCTTACCCTAAGTGATTCATTGAGCTATTTTCACAAAAATTTAATGTGATTATTTGGTTTTAATTGACATAGAGATATAGTAGGTTAAACCAATCAATTAAAGTTAATTTCGCTCGAAGAAGGATGATTAGCTGAACTTGAAAAATCAGGTCTAAAATCGTAAATGGGTAATTAGTTAATTTGCTTGTTGAGAAGTAAAATCAAGCAACAATTCAGAGAAATCATGAATCCCAACAACGTTTTCATTCGTAATTTCCATGTGTTTTGGTTTCCTTATTTTGTAGAATTTTAGTTATTTTCCTCATTTTCCAAAATCATATTATCTTGTGTTCGTTTTTATTGTTAAAATTATACTCATAAAGTTGTGTAATTTAAAGTAAACATTCTTCAAGGGATCGACAACTCGAACTAAAAAGTTTACTTTATTAGTTTATTATTTGAACGCAACCCGTGCACTTACAGTTTACATTTTCATAGAGAAGAAGTTTTTGGCGCTGTTGTCGAATAATGTTTTAACTTTGATTATCACTTTAGTTACTTTTAGTTTTAACAATTTTTTCAACTTACTTTTGTTTGCTTTTATTTTTATATTTTTGGCTAAACCCTATAGTTTTAATCTATCTTGTATTGGTATTTTCTCTTCGCACTTTTTCAGATATTTATGCATGGTTCTAATAGTGATAAAGTAACGAAAGTTTTGTAACGGATAATCTCTATATGGGTTATGAAGATATGCGATATCCAAGTTGTAAAATTGTTACACGATGTATGGTATTGAGCCATGCTTGTTCTCATACAATAGTTTACATACTTCGAAACTTCTTAGGTCTAGAAAATACTTAAAATGTCAAAAAAAAAAAAAAAAAAAAAATTGAAAAAAATGATACGATTCTTGATATAATAGTAAGTAACGTTTAAGCGAAGCCAAACATGCTCTTAATGCTACTGTTAGGGTTGTTTACATACTTCGAAACTTTTTAGGTCTAGAAAAAACTTAAAATGTCAAAAAAAAAAAAAAAAAGCAATTGAGAAAAATGATGAAGGGTACATGCTTGTGGGATATTTTGTACCTTACAATTGGGATGAGGACATCAAACTTGCGAGAGATGGCCTTCCTCTATTAAACGAGAAGATACTTGCAAAGTATTTTTAAAAACTTACCTTGTTGAATGAAAGCAATATGCTTATGGGGGAGATTATATGTATTGGGAATAATTTCAACAATGGGGGTACAATCCATTTGAAGGAGTCAAATGAAACCGACTTGTCATCGTCCGTGGATGTAAATTATGGACCGCTCATTCAATTAGATGAAATATCAATTATTGTAGAAGAGCTTGAAGAGAACAAAAAATCAATCACAACGGAGCTAAATGAAAATATAGCACTCAATGAAAGAGAAAATCAACTTACATTTTTCCCACTACATTGATTGCTAAGAAATTGATTTTATGATTAAACACGTCAAGGAGATAGAAGTCTTCATAGTTAAATTTGAAGCGGATGGATTAGGCAAGTCATCTTATATGGAAATGGCCAATGTTGAGTTTTGGAGATTAAACAAAAGTGGAACAAAGCCAAACAAAGAAAAATGGACAAGGCATCTAAAGCCTTCTTGAGATGCCCGTGATTCAATTGACAAAGTCGAGTTAAAGATTTTAAAAAAGTGCTTATTGGGATGCAACCCAATTTTTTTTAACTTTTAAGCTTTTTTGTTTACTTGTATGTATTTTCATGCGTTAATTTAATTAGCTATCATTTTTTATAGGTAATTTTGAAGTCCCACATATCCATAGTTTCTAACAAGTTTTGGGGTAAATTGTGTACATGAATGACACTTGTCCAAGTTTATTAAAAGCATAACAGATCCAAGTAGAGCATTGGTACCTCTTTACCAAATTTTTGATCGAGGAAGTTTCGTTACCCTATCTTCTATTTTATCTTGTTCTTTAGACACTAAGGACAATTTGTAATTTAAATTTGGGGGTCGTTGTGCTTAAATTTGTGATTTTGTTTTTACATGTTAGATAAGCCTTGCCAGCTTAGGATTGTTTGATGTTTAAAATAGTTATTGATTCATGAGTTATGTATGACTAAATATGCTATTTGTGCTTGAACTTTCTGAAAAAATTTGTTTGTTCATGTAAGATTTCAAGTTAATTGTTATAAAGATGTGGAAAATTTTGATTGATGGAGAGATTTTTTATTTGGTAGAACTAGGTTTGAGTTGTATTTAAATGTCTATCAATCCTATAGTATCTTCTCTTTTACTTAATCTTCTTGTGAGATAAACTTGGGGTGGTCGAGTCAGTGAAGGATATTTCTAGAAAGTGTTGATTCCGTGCATGTTTTAAAAAAAAAAAAAAAATTGTGTGGAACGTCTTTTTCTAGCGAGTATAAACTAGGTAAGGACCATATGCTAGGGATCTAAGTCTCATGTGTTAAGTCGTGATTAATAGAATGATATTGCTCTTGTTGAATTTAAATCTCATTTCATAGTTTGAATTACTTAGTAGAAACTTGAATGTGGAAGCACTCATTAGTAGAGAATCATCATATGTCTAGATGTTGAGATTGTCAATTAGGTCCAACCGAATAAGAGTGGGAAAAGAAATAGTGATTTGAGAATAACCTTTAGATTTACACCTGGGGAAAGAAAATGAATTTCTATTTGAGTTTGTGAATCTCACGAGTGGGAAAGGAAACATTTGGCCACTAAGGATTGAGTTTGAACTAATTTGAAATTTTTTCCATCTTAACAATTTTTTCCTATTTTAGATAATGATTGAAAATGACTATACATACCCACACACACTGATCGAACATTGGATAAGCTTAAATTATTTTTGTTATTATTATTTGGAGTATATTTGTGAATTGATTGTTCTATTTTATACTTAGATAATTTGCAATTATCTAATGTGTTGATCGTTATAAATTGTTGCTTGATTATGTTGTAGATAATCTTGCTCAGGATGAACAAAAGCTCAAGTTTGTGAGTATTGATAAGTATGTTTTTACATACTTATTTAATATGTAAATAATCGTAAACATTGATTAAAGGAGCAAGTTTCTACTTACAATTATGTAATTATTATTTTTGTAGGTAAAAATCATCTAAAGAATTATAACAAGACAAAAGGAAGTGAAAATGGACTAAAAGTATACAAAATTGTGACATGTGGACCAAAGTGCACAAGTTAAAAAGTTCAAGGACTTGGGGTTGCAATTTTGAAGTGCATGAATGATATGAAAGTCAATATTCGAGGATCAAATTGTACTAAATCAAAGTTGAGGGACTGATGCACAATTATCTGGAGGACTTAGGTACAAAAATGGAACCAACTGATATTTTTGACAGCAAGGTGGCGTTTTAGCACATAGTTTAAATTCATCAGGGACTGTTTTGCTGTTTGTCAAAAATTTCAGGGATTGTTTGTTAATTTTCTGGGTTTTAATATCAAAAGCGCCTAGACGCCTAATTCAAAGTCATTGGGGACTGTTTTGCTGTTTGTCAGAAATTTCAGAGACTTGACTGCAAATTTTCTAAGTTTAATATTAAAATCGGAAGCCACATTCTGGGGTCTTCCTCCTCTATTCTTTCCTTTCATTTTCTCTTTCAATTTTTTGATATTTTGGGGGCCTTAATTTCTATTTTGATTTTCTTTCTTCTTCTTTTTTTTCTTCATTTTTCCTTTCCTTTTTTTTTTTGGGGTATTTTGGAGAATAATTAAAGCAACAAAAGGAGAAAACTCAAAGAAAGAGGAAGAGATTTTGGGAAAAACTCAAGTTTAATCGATGGCAATCTTAAAAAAGGGTGTTTCAATTTTCTCTTGAATTTATATAGTATGATCTAAATTCTTGATGTTGGGTTCATGATGTAGTTTAATTTATCTTTTATTAATGTCAATTTTGTTATTTAATGTCGTATTTATTTTCATGTGTTTTTACTATTGTTATTATTGTATTTTCATTTATGTGACCAATGAATTATTATATTTAATGATTTGTACAACGTTCGAGAGAAGATTGTACATATTAGATCAAATAGTTGAAACCCTAGGTTATCATAGGGGATAGAGATATACCATTAATCTCATGTGACCCATTGAACTATTTTCATAAAAATTTAATACGATTGTTTGGTGTTAATCATCATAGAGATATACTTTAAACTAATCAATTAGGCTTAGTTTCGCTCAAGAAGGTAATTAGCTAAACTTGAAAAATTAAATCTTATATCGTAACAATCCCGTTATGGGTACACGCCTGTTGACACGGAGGGTTACACGCTGACGTGGCAGGGACGGGAATTCAAATTTTAAAACAAATGAAATGGGTCAAAAACTTGAACCAACCAACCAGCCCAATTATATGACCCTTAATCGGGTTCTCCCTCTCATTTCATATTCCCCAAATTTGTCGAAACCCTAGAGGCGAAAATGGAGATCGAAGCTAGCTTCGATCGCTCATGGTAATTCTACCTTTGAAACGCGATCCATCGCCTCCGACGGAGATTCCTAATCATCTCATTTTCACTCTTTCCCGAAACCAGAGAGAAGCTCTTGGAAGTGAAAACGTTGGTCAAAGTCGTACACCTCCATAAAAAAATCGTCCTTTTGAACGCGAAGCATCGCCTCCGGAGGAATCGCGTAGCAAAATTAATGTAAGCACGATTCATTTGGTTTCCACTTTCGTTGATTTTACAATTTTCGAATGATACAGTCGTTCGAAGATTGTACGGTGGGTTGTGGTTGTTGTGTACTGTAGTGAAAATATGTCTTTGCTTGTGTGCAGCATGCCAGGGAGGAACTCATGAGTATGCCATAGTTGTCGCGAGAAGGGTCACTTCTTTGCGGAATGCTAGAAAAAACGTCACTGCCCTTGGTGTAAAATTGGGCTTGTGAAGTGCTTTGAGGTCGAGAAGGAGATGGAAAACAAGGGAAAATTGTTCAATTGTTGCAGTGCTAAATGTAAATATTGGGAATGGGTCGAGAAAGGAGAAACAAGCTGGGTTAAGTGGTGTTAAAATGAACGTTAATCATCCTGCAGCAGTGGCTGAAGAAGATCAAGAGTTTGCTCGTATGTTCCAAACTCGTTGTCGGGTTACCGAAGACCAAAAGTTTGAGATTCAAGTGATTGTGACAATTCGCAATGTCAACGAAAGTGCTGAACTGGATAAGAAAGGGAAGGGAAAACTTGAGCAATAGTTGTGTTATCATTAGTTTCACTTCCTCGTACTTATGATGTGTAGTATGTGTTCTTGTAGGTGTAGAGTGTTATGTTATGTGTAACAAGTGCAGTTGGGTCGCTATAAAATTGAGGACAGAATGCTGCTCTGGGGAATTATGAGTCCTAAATTTGTGTTCTTCACTTTTGTATGTAGGAAGATACTGTAAATTTATTCACTAATTTTAATATGACTTCATTATTAGTCCTTCATTTGTTGGTGTTAATTTTGGTGGCTGTGAATGTGAAGTGGCTGTGGATGCAGGGAGAATTTTGGTGGTTGTGAATGTGAAGTGGCTGTGAATGCAGGGAGAATTTGTCTCCAGTTTTCAGTTAACATCAACCCAGGCAAAGTGGCGAACTGAATGTGCCTCTGTTGAAGTTAACTGAAGACGGCATTAGAACTCAAATAAACACTAGAACAAACTAAAATGTTGCTAGTAAACTGAATATGCTGCTGACTAAAATACTGCTGGTAAACTGAATATGCCGTTGGTGAACTAAAATGATGTTGCTTTAAGCTTCAATCTTAATTATGCTGTTGAACTGAAGTTGCTACAATTGTTTGGGAATAATTTTAACAAGATCAATACAATTAATCCCAACGTATTGACAAGCCTCAAAACTGACTACATTAATTGCATAACATCAAACCAAACATAGTCATCAAAACTAACTACATTAACTACATAACATCAGACCAAACATAGTCATTACAGTTAGGCATAACAGAGACATGATGGACACAAAACCTAATACATTAACTGCTTGATCAAGCTATTCACATGCCTCAACAGGCCAAATCCAAGGTGTTGACAGTGCACAGAATCTGCATGAAGTTGTCTTCCTCTTACAGCCACCTATAAGAATCTGCATCACGCACTGGTAAAGCATTTAAGAAACTGTATTACGTTGAACTTCATACCCATAGCAGGCACAATCACACTGTCTACCCCTTCGATTCCATCATCTACGACTTTCTCACTTTCCAAAATGTTGTTAGTTTGGGACTGTAATAGAATGACGTCATCCGCCTCTTTCACAATTTCCTTGCCCGCAGTAATAAAACCAATGACACAATTCATTCCCTCTTTCTCCATAATCAACAAATTCTTAACAAAATCGACAACATATGGGTGAAAAATTTAAGCTTTCCCCTAATTCTATTTTAGTTTGACAGAATAGGGTGAACAATTAATTGACCATTTCATTGATTTTTGATTCACAGTGAAATATCATATGACACCAATCACAGCAATCAAGCAGCAATCACAAAAATCAAGCCAAACAATCACAAAAATCAAGCAAGCTAATCACAGAAATCAAGCCAATGTTTAGTTCCATTACAAATTTCATTTTACCATGTATAGCTTGAACTTTTACCTATAAATGTACACACAACCATTGTAAAATGTATGAAGTAAAACATTATGGTTTTGGCTTTCATCTTCCTTCTTCATTTGTGTGTATCAAATTTTATTATATCATGTAATCATATTTTGAAGCTTAAAGGCAGGGAAATACTATCATCTAAGATGGGAAGTTTTAAGCTTCATTAAGGAAAATACCGTTGTTCATCATCTACTCAAATCTGCTCGAATCTAGGAAGCTCGAGGCAACTTCAAGACCGAGGAACACTTTCTTCCACAGCCCAGTTTCGAATCTCACGGCCACTGCTTCAATGGAGCGCATGTACAACTCTTTCTTACGCAGTCAAACTGAAGCTGAATGTGCTTGTTACGTCTTCTTCGCACCGGTAGAACTATTTCTACCGCAGTCAAACTATTTCGTCCTGTAGAACTCTTTCTTAGGCAGCCTCCGGCCATGTCGACTGCTTCAAGTTGGAAGAACAACATCTTCGAGCGCCAGTCGATCTTACACAGTGCCGTCTGAAATTTTGGCTCCCTCTTTACTGAATTTGCGGGCAAAATTGCTTTTTATCGACCCGCTTTGTCTCCGCCATTTTCAAATTTAATGACCCGACCCAATTTATCAATTGTTTCATTTTTTTTAATTACACCTCCAGCTCAGTGTGTAACCCAGAAAGTACCAATAGCATTTTCCATATCGTAAATGGGTAATTTTTTAATTGGCTTGTTGAAAAGTTAATTATGTGATGGTTAGACGAAATCATGAATCCCAATCACATTTTCTTACAAAATTTCCATGTGTTTTGTTTTCTTATTTTGTAGAATTTTAGTTAGTTTCCATATTTTCCAATGTCATAATTTTATTGTGTATTTGTTTTTATTGTTAAAATTAAATTGATTAAAGTTACATGATCTAAAATAAATATTTATCGAGTGATCGATAACTTGGACTAAAAAAGTCCAATTAATTGCCTGAACGTGACCCATACACTTGCGATTTGCACTTTCATATCGAACAAAAATCATAAAGTTTTTGGACATGTAAGGTTAATCAAAACTTCCAATGATCTTTCATGATGATAGATTGGGTTAACAAGAAAGGGTTTAGTAACAACTTATAAGAAAGTATTTATGTTGTCATTATGACGATTAGATTTTCTAGCATTATAAACTTCATTTTTTCTTTCTTTCTTCAAATTGAGATAATTACTCTACTAGCCTTTTATTTGTCTTGAAAGACCAATAATAATATTGTTGAAGTCAATGTCATCTGGAATATCTTTGCATCAATAAGTCACAAAAAGATGGAAAAATTTTCAATGACTTAAATAATTTGATATTTGTCATTCTATCAATATTCCATTTGATAATATCATCTCCAGTATAAGAGACTTGTCTCTTTTTCTTTTGCGCATATTGCATGCCAAGAAAAGAAGGCTTGGAATAGTGATTTAGAATTTTTGAATAATTTTGATTTTAAATTTTATTTATGTGAAAAGTTTCTTCTTCAAATTGCTTTTTAGTTCTTCAATTGAGTAGACCATGTTTACATTTTTTGGCGCATTTAACTTTGAAAGTTGTTTT